ATATCCTAAAGTGATTAACCATCTTCAACATCTAATTGGAGGTCGGAAAGAAGGACGTTTTTCTCCACCATAAGGTCCTCAAATCCATTGTTGGTCACAATGGCCAATTCCAAGTTAGAAGAATCAAGAGATACCTTCTACCATTCCAGATTTCATTTCTTCAGGGACATCCACCTGCTGAAAGAGAGTAAGGGAAATAAATAACTATATTTCTTTATTGCTATGATTATGTGCAAGAAATATACACTTCTGTATAAGCTTATAGTCTTGAACTTCCCAATAGGAGTCTATATTAAATATAATTAATTGTTTTGACATTCAGGACTGTCAAATTATGAAGTGATGGACAGCTAGAAAATAAGAATATCTTGACCATGGTCATACAGAGATTGAATCATAAAGTTAAATTCATGAGATAAATCTGTGCAGTATGATAATTTATTTTGACGTTTTTATTTCAAAAATCATTATGACTTGAAAGGTAATATGTAATTTAATTAATTACATTGGACCGTCATGCAATGGCAATGCCATTTTCATAATGTAATTGTAATTTCATTAATTACATCATCATGTAATTGAACCCATGCCTGTTACAAACAGTAGCTGTCCTAACTGATCCTAAAATTAAATTTGGCTATGTCTATCACAAAATTAATGTTGGCTGTCTATTACAAATGCCATATTTAGCTACAGTAGAGGTATTTCAAAAATGTATGTCATTGTAACTGAAAGGACATAATTAATGGTTACTTAACCAGAACTACAGTTCTGAACAAACCACTACAAAGCCTGGTTAACTGTACTAAGAAAATGTCTTCTCAATTAATCAATTTCATTGATTATTGACATCTTATTGTTGTACTTACAGCCACTTGAGTTTCTTAAAAGTTGCAATTTGACTTTTAATAAGACCCAAAATGATAATACTGCAATGTCTTAATTAGCTCTCGAGGGGTATTGGTTAGACTATTTATCTCATTTCATTCCATTCACCATGAAAACAAAACTCTAAAAAACAGTCGACAATTAATGACAAATATTGAGCCTAGGGCTGGGTAAAATTGATGAATCAAAAGTGTTGAACTGAAAGTGGACGCAGTTGACATAATACTGAAATTTCTGAGATGAACAAATACAGTACATATATCAAAAAGTTCAATTGTACCAATAATACTTTACACATTCACACTGGGACTTTACACATTCACACTGGAACTTTACACATTCACACTGGGACCTAACACTTTGCTAGGTTTATCCTAATCTTTATTAAAATACTTTCCGGGAATCAGATGTTAATTGACATCTTCATTATTCCTAATCTTCATATTGTAATCGTTCACATGCATCACTCTTCAACAGAATCAACGAGACATCATGTCAGAAAGACAAAAACTAAAATTAAGCTAAAACTATATATATTAACTTCACATGTAAACCTTAAAATTAGCATAGCTGTAGAGTTCCCGTACGATTTCATACTCTGGCCTTGGGCCGTTGGGGTACTTATAAATTATCTCCGATCAGAAATTTGAAAGAGCTAGACCTACAATAGCGCAGACAGTGACAGATATTTTAAAGTAAAATCGATATATTACCCAGACAGATTCCTAGATCTATTCACAGTAGTGTAAGTAGTACAGTACAATATTACGGATAAGTTTTTTTTCTGGTTAATTTCCAATCTGTTGGGCCACTGACAGAAGTGACTGCGATGAGACCATTATGAAACGATCATTCCAAAATAAATCCATTTCAAAATACTGAAATACTTTACGGAAGCAACAAAAATGTGCTAGATGCTTACATAACATTTTTCAAATGCATACTGCTTCAAGGGAAAAGTCTTGAAAATATTTTGAAAAAAAAGTGCAGCCTAAATTCAATAGACGCGAAGGCTCATTCCAAATGAATTGTTGCAAAAAATGCAATTGATAGTTCAGTATAAGTATTGACTTCAAATTCAGCTAACATATATATATATATATATAGTGATACTTACCTACATGAATTACCCGCCATCTTCTTTCAGCCGCCGTCTTCTTTCAGGGTCCAGCAGCACAGAGCACCCCGGCTGTTTCCGTCAAAATTTTATGCTACTCTAAATCATTCTTATTTTAGTTTCATTTTTATTTTCAACTACATATATAAGTATTTTTAATAGTTATCAATAGTATTAAACGGGAAGTAAATTTTCGAAAAAAGAAAAATAGAAAGATATACAAATGTATATGACTCCCACAATGCATCGCGCGGAAAAGAAAGTCAAGCCGCCATATTGGCATCGCCTCGCAAAATTTACCACCATAAATATGAGTCTTTGTCATTGTATTTACAAATTTCGATGTCTGATTATCATTAATACACAACACAAAACATTTTCTTGATGTACAGGTAATGAAGAAAATGTCGATAAGGTTGTTTCATTTAATGACTAGCATCAGCAACTTGTAGGGGCGATAATCCAATGATTACGGTAATGTCCGGCAGATGGAGTAGGAGTAAACTTTCGATTTATGAACCAATGAAAACGAAGTACTGATACTCGGCCTCAGGGGCAATAGCAACATGCTGAAGAGCATTGAAAATGCTCTTAGCATAAAAAGTCCACTCTGAACATGAGGACTGGCAGGATCATGTAGACAGGAGTCAGCTTGTTCCAAATACTACCAGCACCACAGTTAATAAAGACTTATATACAGAGTGCATCAAAAGTATGATTATACAATGATCCTGCTAAGATATTTAGTATCATTTGAAGAAATGATAGCTGTTTGGATATAAAGTGAAGATTGGAATCTGCTCATCATGTGTAACATCTACACTTCTTCATCTACTTCATGCTTTTCAAGAAAAAAACTTTAGTAAAGTAAGCACCGTAATTCTTATATATTGAATTTCTGTATGAGACTTAACACCTTCAACAGACATTTTTTGTAGGCACCATCATGGTGCTGTATATCACATCAAGCATAGATTTTGCAATTTTTAAAAGATTTGCTTTACGTCTGCTATTTGGCCCCACCTCTCTGATCATACAAAACTGATCCCCTTTTCCCAAGTATGTCTCACACCAAATTGGGACAGTATTTAAGCATTTCTATATCAGAAGAATGATCTTGAAGAGTTGGTCTACTTCTCCTGTTGGACCCCATCACTCCTGCTATACAAGACTGAGATCCAACATTCCTAAAATATTGATACCTCTTCACCCATGCATGCATTAGGTCAAATCTTGACAACATCCAGGTATTCCTACAGAAGAAGAAGGATTTTAAAGAATTTACTCTATTTTCCCTATTGGGCTCTGACCCCAGAGGGGCAAAGGCATCCATTTACACAAAACTGATTTCCCTTTATAAAAGCATGCTTCAGACCAAATTTGGACAAAATCCTGCAATTCTTAAAGAACAAGATAGATCTTAAAGAAGTTCATAAATTTTTCCTATTGGACCCCGTCCTTCTGGCCCCAGGGGGCCGAGACCTACTGTTTATACAAAACTGATTTTCCTTCACCCAAGCATGCTTTCGACCAAATTTGAACAATATCCCGCATTTCTTGAAGAAAAAGAAACATTTTAAAGAAACTGATAAATTTTTGCTATTTGGTCCCACCTCTCTGACCCCAAGAGACACCCACCGTTTACAGAATACTGATTTCCGTACACCAAATTATGCTTCAGACCAAGTGTGGACAATCTCTTGTGATTCCTAAAGAACAAGATAGATTTTAAAGAAACTGATAGATTTTCCCTACTGGGCCCCGCCCTTCAGGCTCCAGAGGGTCCACACCCAACATTTACATGAAATTGGTTCCTGTTCCCATAAGTATGCTACAGACAAAGCTTGATTAAATTCTACTCAGACACTGATGACTAGTAGCAATTTACATGAAAAGTTAACACAGCGGTAGCCTTATAGCTCACCTGGCCTTTTGGACCAGGTGAGCTAAAAATTTATAAAATGCCAAATATTATGCAATGATTTGTAATGGCTGAGATAATGCATATTTATCATTACTTAAAAACACTTTATTTAAAATGAATGATTTGAAACTGACTGTATTTTCTATGTTAACATGTGATCTGATGTTGTCTAGGATTTTTTATCATCATATGAAAGACTTTCTCTAGACATGTTGCCTGTAAACCTAATCAAAAGTAAATTCTTGGGAGATTTGTGTGAATGATAGATTTACAAGATGCCTAGAAAGATCATGCATAGTGGCAGCCCTATGCTGGAAAGTAAAGTTGTCGAGGACATCCTGTGCAAATACTTGGTTTACAACATTTAATTGCTTTGACACTTAAGCAAGTTAGTGGGAAAATGTCTGATCTCTCCATAGATGTTTGATTTGTGACAATTGTTCTATATATATTGGAAAATTGGCAGTTTCATATAAGGATTATTACTATCGACAATTCAGTCTAAAAATGCCCGATACTAAAGAACTTAACAAATATTAGTAAATAAATAAATATTTTGACTCTGATAATGATAGATCGCAGAAAATGTGTTTTGGTGAAAAATCTTGTACAGTGCTACCCAATATTAAGCTGCACCAGTCCTCAACAATACTTTGAAAGTTATACACAACATTTACATGAAATCCCCCGATACTGCTCTGATTTCAATTTATTTTTTTTTAATATTTTACCTCTGTCAATACCATTTTTTAAGAATTTTTGCGACTCTGAACCCTTCGAACTAATATTTACACAGCTGTTATGTGACTATCAACTATTGTTCAGGGCATCTCTTACCATTCAATGTAGTATAACTTAACAGGTCGCCGGTTGACAGATTTATTATCTGATGTTATTGTGTCGATTAACGCCTGTCTATTTATTGTTTATAGCTAGCTTCTAACATTGGTCACATTATGATGGGTCAAATCATCACGTGTCGGAGTACAGCGTCGCGACGAGGAGAGTATCACGTCGTTCTTTCATGCCGTGTGGCCTTATTAGGTCATGCCCTTCATTCGTACAACTTACCACTCATTATTCACATCTCTCTGCTCCAGAGCAGCGCGAGACGATTTTCCCGTTTTCTCTCAACAACTTCATCCACTTCCGCAATTGCGATTCAATTAATGTACCTCTTTTCCGAAGAGTTACGCGGAAGGGACGTAACCCTGCTGCGGAGCTCAAACTAGTTCCCAAACGAGACGGATTGTGTCGATTCACAAAAGCAAGCGCAACTTTATCTCCATGATGCACATTTGAACTGCACGATTCATGGCTTCACTGAAGCGCGTGTTCTTTTTTTATTTACTTGGCCTTTACAAGATTTTAGCAAGACACGCGCCAACATATCCACAAGTACCTATGTGCAGAGACATATACGTCTGTGCTACATGTATGCGTTGCCACGGACTTGGATCTCCATGTTGTTACGCCATAACCGTTGTCTTCTACTTGACATCTTTGTGTCTTTCACTTTACCGTTCGGGGATCGGTTCCATGAACGGTTATTGGTGCGTTTTTACCACAAACAGCAAGACCCATCGCGCGCTTACAACAAGTGTGATTAGTGTTAGGCGAAATAAATAGAAAAAAACCCATCCAGATGTACATACAACCTGAAGGCAGTAAGAACAAGACGAGATATAGAAAAGGGAATTTGGGTTGGGGTATGGAGCCAAAAAATTTAAATGAGCACAACTAGGGACCAAGGGAAATCTACATATGAAATTTGAGAGAGATCCCTTCAGTTCGTTTTAAGAAATAGCGATAACAATCTTCATTGAAAAAATCCAAGATGGCCGACTGTCAGCCATTTGTGTTGTTTCTGATTAGTCCCAAAATAAAATGGGCACAACCAAGGGAAAATCACATAAATAACGAAACGAGATGCTTGGTTATTTAATGAAAAATGGACTAGTCATCCATCCGACCTTAACCGGACATCCGTGGGACAAGTAACCGCAACGCATTACCGATCGTGCGCGGCTTTCTGTCAACCGGCAAGAGCTTGCTGATGCTTTTCGTCGAGAATGACCAATAATTTCACAAATGGCTACACCACGCCTGATTCGCAGCATGTCAAGCCGGTGACGTGCCGTTATTAGGACCAATGGAGGACGCACTCACTATTGATTACTGAGTCCACTGAAGCATTTTGAATTTTTATCGACATTGGGACTTTAACTTTGATTTAGAGGGCTGGGAACTTTTTATGTAATCATACACTATACGCTTGAATGACTTGATTCAAAGTGGGTCGACGCTGTTTTCTTTTCGTTTGAATTAATTCGTGTATTTCATATGCAAGAAGTTTTTACTTTTTAATACAGTAAATTTATCTTTGAAAGCGATCCCTAAGTTTTAGTGTCCAGTATGTAAAATGGTCAAGAGGTTAAGCAATCTCTACGTAACCGTGACCATAACGTTCGGTGTTTACCAGTTGTTACAAAGAAAATCTAAACCTACAATCAAACGCATACCTGCCAACTTTCTCATGGGGAGAAAAGTGCCAGAACCACATTTTTGACTCGCCACGTATACCTTGCTAGTTTGTTACAAAGGAAAAAATAATTCGAGGATTTTTAATCAATACTTCTAGATAACTTTTGTTGATAAAATGCATGTTTTTCTATACTATAACAATGAAAAAAAATCTGTTTTTTAAACGTAAGTAAGGATCAAGTTGGAATTTATTCATTTAAATTCTCAATATTCATTTAACACTCACAATATAATAGATATTAAGATTTTGTAAGAATTTAATTAATTAAGGTATGGAAAATGATATTAATCACCTCGTGCAATTGTTAAGCTGATATTTTATTAAAATGTTCGCGAAAGAGGATAAAAAGACAAGTGAAATAATATCTTTCATAAAGTTCAAAATGTTTTAATTTAGATCTAATGGTCCATGATATTTGAAATTTTGTATTTCCTGTGAAATACATATTGCAGATGATGTCAAAATATAGGAACATGAAAAACGTTTAAATGCTAATACGTTAGTTTCCTCGTTTTCAGTGAACGACATAGAGAGGACCATAGCTGTCCAATATAAGGGATCTCGCACGTCCCTTTTTCCATATCTTACACATTCATAGACTGACATATATGACGCGGTTCAGCCAATCACAGCTGCGCTAGACTACGTTTGTAATAAGAATGTAAAGGATGTTATTCCACTGATAATTGAAAAAAATATTTTCAAATGCAAAACTGGCAATTCAGAAATATGTGAAAATAGTAGAATTGATTACAAATTATACAAGTTATTGATAGGTTTTGTCTTTAAAGCAATAAATCGATAGAAACCGAAATAAAATCAAATTATTGCAAAAATGCTAATGAACTGTTAAGAATTAACCGTTTCAGCCAATCAAAGCGCGTTTATTCATAAATGTTTGTTTACACTGTTTTGATTCAAATTTTTCGAATTAATTCTAATAAAAAGGAAATTATTTTTACAAAAAATGTTTTGTCTAATGAAAAAAATCTCAAAAATGCAACTGTCATCCTATACTTTGAAAACGTTTGAATTATTGAGAAACTCCATATATGTATAAACAATTTTGCTACACAACTGCAGTAAAATCTACCTACCTACATCCCATTTGTTGCAAAGTATCTTCAGACATTCCAGAAGAGTGTTTGATTCAACTATGTCTTGGTCTTGAGAATGTTTTTTTGTTTTAATTTCAGTCAGCTTGACATCTTTCGACTACTTTTGACCCACGGATATCATACGTGATTAAAAGATGTATATAACGATGTATATGTGTATATGAGATAATTCGTTATACTGTATTTACAGAGAGGGCATTTTAAATTAAATTGAAGTAAAATCTCCCCTTTCGTTTCAAGTTTTGGCTAAAACCGCGAAAATTTGAACTATTCGAAAATTCTTTAGATACAACACTAAAATGTGAAGTATCACGACAGCTGGGAATGAGTTATGAGATGGGCTGTGGACGACACGAAATAGATATATATAGGCTTACCGAAATTACGGACAGATTCTTCTGCTTAAGCCAAGGGTTCCTGCTGTTTATCACAAACTCCATCCTAACACTGTCAACCCTGATATCTAGCTACCGTCGATCTTTCGCGTTGGAAGTTTCCAAATCATCATGCATGTCCTTTAACTTTTTAAAATTGTCTTCAGTTAGTGCAGGAAGGGAGAGGAAATATATCATTTGTTATAGCTATTGGATAGGTCACATGAAGGGCTCTCATTTTTTTTCTGGGTTTCCCAGCGACGACACTACATTTCTTATGGACAGAAAATGTTGTCCATAAATTTAACAGTCAAATCATATAAATCATTGTAGTCTGTGTTACGTGTTGAGTTTTCCATTGTCCACAGTCTCGTCATGACAAGGAATTAACGAATCATCAAGACTTTCGCTTTACATAATTGACATCCCGGAACAAGACCGTAGTCAATACCTATACTGGGGACAGTAATGAATATTCATGAGGAACACCGTTTGATATTTGATTATTGTGTGGCCCTGTCACCTCCAGCATATGGTACGGTTTCATCTGTAAACAATGACAAATCCCTTTCGTTGCAGATCTTACACAAGGTCGTGCATCAACTTCGTTTATCAATCCCGACTGTGCAGGTCGTGGTGCCAATGAAGTACTGACACACTACTAGAAACACGTTTTGATGTGTCGATTGACTAATGTACACAAGTGTCATAACGTTCGTGAACTTTTGAGACACGTGTCATGGTATGCATGGCCTTGTGAAAACTCGTACGTGCTAAAGTGTGTTGACCTCGTATAAACACGTGACATGGTAATTGTGATGTTGTGTAAACATGTACGTATCATGATGTTGGTGACCTTTTGTGACACGTGTCATTGTACTTGTGATCTTGTGAAAACACGAATCGTGGTGTTTGTGACCTGGTGTAAACATTTATCGTGGTGTTTGTGACCTGGTGTAAACATTTATCGTGGTGTTTGTGACCTGGTGTAAACATTTATCGTGGTGTTTGTGACATGGCGTAAACATGTATTGTGGTGTTTGTGACCTGGTGTAAACATTTATCGTGGTGTTTGTGACCTGGTGTAAACATTTATCGTGGTGTTTGTGACATGGTGTAAACATGTATTGTGGTGTTTGTGACCTAGTGTAAACATTTATCGTGGTGCTTGTGACCTGGTGTAAACATTTATCGTGGTGTTTGTGACATGGTGTAAACATGTATTGTGGTGTTTGTGACCTGGTGTAAACATTTATCGTGGTGTTTGTGACATGGTGTAAACATGTATTGTGGTGTTTGTGACCTAGTGTAAACATGTATTGTGGTGTTCGTGACCTGGTGTAAACATGTATTGTGGTGTTTGTGACCTGGTGTAAACATTTATCGTGGTGTTTGTGACATGGTGTAAACATGTATTGTGGTGTTTGTGACCTAGTGTAAACATTTATAGTGGTGTTGTGACATGGTGTAAACATGTATTGTGGTGTTTGTGACCTAGTGTAAACATTTATCGTGGTGCTTGTGACCTGGTGTAAACATTTATCGTGGTGTTTGTGACATGGTGTAAACATGTATTGTGGTGTTTGTGACCTGGTGTAAACATTTATCGTAGTGTTTGTGACATGGTGTAAACATGTATTGTGGTGTTTGTGACCTAGTGTAAACATGTATTGTGGTGTTCGTGACCTGGTGTAAACATGTATTGTGGTGTTTGTGACCTGGTGTTAACATTTATCGTGGTGTTTGTGACATGGTGTAAACATGTATTGTGGTGTTTGTGACCTAGTGTAAACATGTATTGTGGTGTTCGTGACCTGGTGTAAACATTTATCGTGGTGTCTGTGACATGGTGTAAACATTTATCGTGGTGTTTGTGACCTGGTGTAAACATTTATCGTGGTGTTTGTGACATGGTGTAAACATGTATTGTGGTGTTTGTGACCTAGTGTAAACATGTATTGTGGTGTTCGTGACCTGGTGTAAACATGTATTGTGGTATTTGTGACCTAGTGTTAACATTTGTCGTGGTGTTTGTGTCCTAGTGTAAACATGTATTGTGGTGTTTGT